GAAGGTGTTTGGCTCTCTCTGTATGATTGTTTGTTTCTGTGTCTATGCATTAAGGTGTGTGTCTCTCTCTCTATGATTGTGTGTGTCTGTGTCTATGCATGGCTGTGTGTGTGTGTATGTTTTTGACATGCATTGAGAGGAAAGAAAACTCTGTATTACATTAATACATACTCATGGAGTAAATAATTTCAGTGAAAATTCCCAATAAGATAGATAAGAGACATACTGATGTTAACAATGTATAGTATTTAGTACACTGATACATAGATGGAAAATTCAGCGCGTCTAGATCGATTTTTCTAAAAATAAAAAACCTTTTTTGGTCGAGCTCAATTTCGGTCATGTTCTGGTTCAGTTTACCTGAATTTAATCTGCATTGGGTAATCCAACTTCATTTTTATATCTCACTCATTGCTCGTGGGTGAGGGGATACAAATGGAAAACAGGTCTTTTTTAAAGACTAACTCATTTTAGAAATAAAAGTCTCTGGGGGCCAATATAACCCCACATCAGAACAATGGAGGTTTGTCATTGTCATTGGCTGTGTTTAGCTCAGAATCATGATATAAACTAAACGGCTTGTCCAATTATGTTTAAGGTTGTGATTCTGTCTTTTGCCAGCTCAGAATTCCGATATTGTCTAATCGAACAAAATTCAGATAAATCGTGAATCTTCCAAAAACAAATGTCCAAATCTAGGATTGAGGACCGAATAGCTGTATTAGCTGTCATTACACATTTTCTCATCATTTGTAGCGGGTACTTGTCTGCCTATCGATGCTCCACAGTCACAGAGGTGTACGAGATATATGAATTCCAGGCTATTGGTAGCATTTAAAGGAAGAAAACAGCCCGGCAATATGGGGGTTAGAATGGGGCAGTTTTAGCTTCCTATATATCATCTTTTACAGAGTTATTTACTAAAGTGCGATTTGTTGGGAATTCAAAGTAAAAGCCAAAGTAGCCAAAATAGAACATTTTTCTAAGTTAACTATGCTTTCGGTTGCGCCACTTCGGCCTTAAATTTAAAACTCACATTGAATTCCTGACAATTCTCACTTAAAAACAATAAAAAACGCAAATCTTCCATTTTAACTCCTTTCTCCGTCCTTCTCACCCAATCTGTTGGATTTCCATTTTCTGTTTTTCACCAAACGTTAATCAGCACGCTTGGAGTCCGTACGGTGTAACCACGCACATGTATGACACATTCTAAATCATCTGAAAACAAGCACGAAGCTACACACGCTAACAGAAGCTGCAGATCAGTTTAATGTTATATGCAAATACCTTCACTCCACGAATAGAGCAAATTGTGGCCACCGTTAGCTGTACAGTGTCAGGTAGGAAACGTGAAGCTGAACTGTGGGGGTCTTTCTAGAATGGGTTTAAATCTTTCATTGAACATCATGGCGTTCATGACGACTGTGTGGAACATTTTCGATGATTTCTGGTCCAGACAGAGATCAATGCAGCCGCTGCAAATCCAAATACAGGAGCTGCTAAAATGACTGTCTTTATAATGAATTATCTGCATAATGCTGGAAGCATTTAATTCTGTGACCAGCCTGGAGTTTCCTTTTAAAGCTACTTGTCTAAAGCAGGTTATGTTTTAATGATTCTATGTTTTCAAGGACTCATGGGACATTAAGGGCTCTATACCAGCAGATGGCAAATGACTGCAAATTACATAAAAATCATGCTGAAAGATAAAAAAAATTTAAAAAATTAAGCCTGAGGTGCATGACATCGTCTTCTTCCAAATTGTATTGTGCCAAGAACTTCGTATGAAATCCGACGTGGAGAGCAAACTTTGGCGTTAGGGAGCACCACTCGTTGAGGGTTCCTGGCGCTCTCTGTTCCTTCCAGACAAATCTACCCCTGCACCTGCTGCACCACACGCTGTCCCTTTTCCACTAAATGGATGGGTGGTGACCAAATCACTCCCACTAAAAAGGCATTGGAAGGTTTTTCAATGTGAGGGTGATTGAGATGTAGAACCCACAGTAAAATTAAGCTGTTAGATTGATTCTGTCAATACTTCATAAAGGTTTCTGGATTCTTTTTGGCAATGGAAAGGTTAAACAGTTTCTCTCTACTCTCTATGACCTTTTGGTGGCTTCTCTGGCTCTCAGCTGTCCTTACCCGCACTCTGACTGGCATCTGACTTGTGACTGCCTGTCTCGGCCAAAATACTTAAAGCAGGAGGCTGGCCAACCAAAGGGCTGGATCCTGCAACACGCCTTTCTCACCTTGTTGGAGAGAGGCAGCTTTCCATGTATTCCAGAACTGCGAACTCTCAGACCTGTAAATGGATACAGCCAGATACAGCAACGGCTTAATGTCTCCAGCCAGTTATTAACGTGTAACACTAAGAGCCTCAGAATTAACACCATCTTATATTATACCTTCCAGAAAATAACACAAACTCTACACTTTCTCTCACCTTAATATCTCAGAATCAACGTGTATCAAGGAATATATGATTTATTTACTGTGACCATCATAAACGCTCCACCTCCCCAAATATATAACCTATTCAATGAATCTCCCACCTCCCCAAATATATAATCTATTCAATGAATCTCCCACCTTCCCAAATATATAATCTATTCAATGAATCTCCCACCTTCCCAAATATATAATCTATTCAATGAATCTCCCACCTCCCCAAATATATAATCTATTCAATGAATCCCCCACCTCCCCAAATATATAACCTATTCAATGAATCTCCCACCTCCCCAAATACATAACCTATTCAATGAATCTCCCACCTCCCCAAATACATAACCTATTCAATGAATCTCCCAACTCCCCAAATACATAACCTATTCAATGAATCTCCCACGTCCCCAAATATATAATCTATTCAATGAATCTCCCACCTCCCCAAATATATAACCTATTCAATGAATCTCCCACCTCCCCAAATATATAACCTATTCAATGAATCTCCCACCTCCCCAAATATATAATCTATTCAATGAATCCCCCACCTCCCCAAATATATAACCTATTCAATGAATCTCCCACCTCCCCAAATACATAACCTATTCAATGAATCTCCCACCTCCCCAAATATATAACCTATTCAATGAATCTCCCACCTCCCCAAATATATAATCTATTCAATGAATCTCCCACCTCCCCAAATATATAACCTATTCAATGAATCTCCCACCTCCCCAAATATAACCTATTCAATGAATCTCCCACCTCCCCAAATATATAACCTATTCAATGAATCTCCCACCTCCCCAAATATATAACCTATTCAATGAATCTCCCACCTCCCCAAATATATAACCTATTCAATGAATCTCCCACCTCCCCAAATACATAACCTATTCAATGAATCTCCCACCTCCCCAAATATATAACCTATTCAATGAATCTCCCACCTCCCCAAATATATAATCTATTCAATGAATCTCCCACCTCCCCAAATATATAACCTATTCAATGAATCTCCCACCTCCCCAAATACATAACCTATTCAATGAATCTCCCACCTCCCCTAATATATAACCTATTCAATGAATCTCCCACCTCCCCAAATATATAACCTATTCAATGAATCTCCCACCTCCCCAAATATATAACCTATTCAATGAATCTCCCACCTCCCCAAATATATAATCTATTCAATGAATCTCCCACCTCCCCAAATATATAATCTATTCAATGAATCTCCCACCTCCCCAAATATGTAACCTGTTCAATGAATCTCCCACCTCCCCAAATATATAATCTATTCAATGAATCTCCCCCCTCCCCAAATATATAATCTATTCAATGAATCTCCCACCTCCCCAAATATATAATCTATTCAATGAATCTCCCCCCTCCCCAAATATGTAACCTATTCAATGAATCTCCCACCTCCCCAAATATATAATCTATTCAATGAATCTCCCCCCTCCCCAAATATATAATCTATTCAATGAATCTCCCACCTCCCCAAATATATAACCTATTCAATGAATCTCCCACCTCCCCAAATATATAATCTATTCAATGAATCTCCCACCTCCCCAAAATATAACCTATTCAATGAATCTCCCACCTCCCCAAATATATAATCTATTCAATGAATCTCCCCCCTCCCCAAATATATAATCTATTCAATGAATCTCCCACCTCCCCTAAATGAATCCCCCATCCCCAAATATGTAACCTATTCAATGAATCTCCCACCTCCCCAAATATATAATCTATTCAATGAATCACCCCCCTCCCCAAATATATAATCTATTCAATGAATCTCCCACCTTCCCAAATACATAACCTATTCAATGAATCTCCCACCTCCCCAATTATATAATCTATTCAATGAATCTCCCACCTCCCCAAATATATAACCTATTCAATGAATCTCCCACCTCCCCAAATATATAATCTATTCAATGAATCTCCCACCTCCCCAAATATATAATCTATTCAATGAATCTCCCACCTCCCCAAATATATAATCTATTCAATGAATCTCCCACCACCCAAAATATATAAGCTTCTCAATGAAAATCCCACCTCCTCAAATAGATAAACTTCTCAATGGATCTCCTATCTCCTCATTATAACCTTCTTAGTGAATCTCCCACCTTCCCAAATAGTATGTCACAATCCTAGGGCTTCCCAACTTCATGTCATTCCCCACAGTCCCTACAGTCTTTATCCCTCCCAGAGCCTTTTTCCCCAGACAACCACAGTATTTATCCCTACATATTTTCATTGCCTTTTAGTCAGGAATTGTATGGAGTCCCAACACACAGGTCTAGGTAAGATACTTACTTACTGATTATTAGAGGTGACCAGGCATCATGTTAGAGACAAGAGCAAGAATGATCAATGAACAAGCCTAGGTCTAGAAATATGGAAGGACCACAGGATGGTGAGACAGCCTAAGTCATGATTGGAGAGGTCAGTTAAGCAAGGTCAAAATTCCAGAAAAGACTAACACAATTAATACACGCTATTAGGCTACTAGAGACCAGTACAGGGCCCATGTCTCGATGTAGTCGGATGATATATAGGCATTAGATAACTCCTTTACTAGAGCAACATCAAAATTTGAGTAGTCATCATTACTGGAAGGACTCAGTGCCCAGTGTTCATTACTGGAAGGACTCGGTGCCCAGTGTTCATTACTGGAAGGACTCGGTGCCCAGTGTTCATTACTGGAAGGACTGAGTGCCCAGTGTTCATTACTGGAAGGACTCAGTGCCCACTGTTCATTCCTGGAAGGACTCGGTGCCCAGTGTTCATTACTGGAAGGACTGAGTGCCCAGTGTTCATTACTGGAAGGACTCAGTGCCCAGTGTTCATTACTGGAAGGACTCAGTGCCCAGTGTTCATTACTGGAAGGACTCAGTGTCCAGTGTTCATTACTGGAAGGACTCCGTGCCCACTGTTCATTACTGGAAGGACTGAGTGCCCAGTGTTCATTACTGGAAGGACTCCGTGCCCACTGTTCATTACTGGAAGGACTCCGTGCCCACTGTTCATTCCTGGAAGGACTCCATGCCCAGTGTTCATTACTGGAAGGACTCCGTGCCCACTGTTCATTCCTGGAAGGACTCCATGCCCAGTGTTCATTACTGGAAGGACTCAGTGCCCAGTGTTCATTACTGGAAGGACTCCGTGCCCACTGTTCATTACTGGAAGGACTCGATGCCCAGTGTTCATTCCTGGAAGGACTCCATGCCCAGTGTTCATTATTGGAAGGACTCAGTGCCCAGTGTTCATTACTGGAAGGACTCAATGCCCAATGTTGATTACTGGAAGGACTCAGTGCCCAGTGTTCATTACTGGAAGGACTCAGTGTCATTTTTGCATCTATAAAAGGGCTGCCCAACAGGTAGATCCCTAGGTGTTGTGGAACTACAATTCCCATGATGCTTTGCATACCTTTAGAATGCACTTAGAATGACAAAGTATCATGGGAGTTGTGGAGACTGAGCCCCAGATGTATTGGTCCACGTTACTCTTCATGCTGAAAAGATACACTGAATCTCCCACCTCCCCAAATATATAACCTATTCAATGAATCTCCCACCTCCCCAAATATATAATCTATTCAATGAATCTCCCACCTCCCCAAAATATAACCTATTCAATGAATCTCCCACCTCCCCAAATATATAATCTATTCAATGAATCTCCCCCCTCCCCAAATATATAATCTATTCAATGAATCTCCCACCTCCCCAAATATATAATCTATTCAATGAATCTCCCCCCTCCCCAAATATGTAACCTATTCAATGAATCTCCCACCTCCCCAAATATATAATCTATTCAATGAATCACCCCCCTCCCCAAATATATAATCTATTCAATGAATCTCCCACCTTCCCAAATACATAACCTATTCAATGAATCTCCCACCTCCCCAATTATATAATCTATTCAATGAATCTCCCACCTCCCCAAATATATAACCTATTCAATGAATCTCCCACCTCCCCAAATATATAATCTATTCAATGAATCTCCCACCTCCCCAAATATATAATCTATTCAATGAATCTCCCACCTCCCCAAATATATAATCTATTCAATGAATCTCCCACCACCCAAAATATATAAGCTTCTCAATGAAAATCCCACCTCCTCAAATAGATAAACTTCTCAATGGATCTCCTATCTCCTCATTATAACCTTCTTAGTGAATCTCCCACCTTCCCAAATAGTATGTCACAATCCTAGGGCTTCCCAACTTCATGTCATTCCCCACAGTCCCTACAGTCTTTATCCCTCCCAGAGCCTTTATCCCCAGACAACCACAGTATTTATCCCTACATATTTTCATTGCCTTTTAGTCAGGAATTGTATGGAGTCCCAACACACAGGTCTAGGTAAGATACTTACTTACTGATTATTAGAGGTGACCAGGCATCATGTTAGAGACAAGAGCAAGAATGATCAATGAACAAGCCTAGGTCTAGAAATATGGAAGGACCACAGGATGGTGAGACAGCCTAAGTCATGATTGGAGAGGTCAGTTAAGCAAGGTCAAAATTCCAGAAAAGACTAACACAATTAATACACGCTATTAGGCTACTAGAGACCAGTACAGGGCCCATGTCTCGATGTAGTCGGATGATATATAGGCATTAGATAACTCCTTTACTAGAGCAACATCAAAATTTGAGTAGTCATCATTACTGGAAGGACTCAGTGCCCAGTGTTCATTACTGGAAGGACTCGGTGCCCAGTGTTCATTACTGGAAGGACTCGGTGCCCAGTGTTCATTACTGGAAGGACTGAGTGCCCAGTGTTCATTACTGGAAGGACTCAGTGCCCACTGTTCATTCCTGGAAGGACTCGGTGCCCAGTGTTCATTACTGGAAGGACTGAGTGCCCAGTGTTCATTACTGGAAGGACTCAGTGCCCAGTGTTCATTACTGGAAGGACTCAGTGCCCAGTGTTCATTACTGGAAGGACTCAGTGTCCAGTGTTCATTACTGGAAGGACTCAGTGCCCAGTGTTCATTACTGGAAGGACTCCGTGCCCACTGTTCATTACTGGAAGGACTGAGTGCCCACTGTTCATTACTGGAAGGACTGAGTGCCCAGTGTTCATTACTGGAAGGACTCAGTGCCCAGTGTTCATTACTGGAAGGACTCAGTGCCCAGTGTTCATTACTGGAAGGACTCAGTGCCCAGTGTTCATTACTGGAAGGACTCAGTGCCCAGTGTTCATTACTGGAAGGACTCCGTGCCCACTGTTCATTACTGGAAGGACTGAGTGCCCACTGTTCATTACTGGAAGGACTCAATGCCCAATGTTGATTACTGGAAGGACTCAGTGCCCAGTGTTCATTACTGGAAGGACTCAGTGTCATTTTTGCATCTATAAAAGGGCTGCCCAACAGGTAGATCCCTAGGTGTTGTGGAACTACAATTCCCATGATGCTTTGCATACCTTTAGAATGCACTTAGAATGACAAAGTATCATGGGAGTTGTGGAGATTGGGCCCCAGATGTATTGGTCCACGTTACTCTTCATGCTGAAAAGATACACTGCATCACTCTGGTCTGAAAAATAGCTGTTTGTGCCAAAACCGATGGTGGAATGATGCACTGTGCCATTTTGCACAGGATAAGAGTGGCTTTTGTAAACATTGATCCTGGAAGGATGCCCAGCATCACAGCAATGTCAGACCAACCACTGAGTTGAACATGTTTCCCCTGGAGCCAAAACCTAAACCAAAACATCTAAAATACTGCGCATGCATATTTCTCAGCCCTGCTGCTCAGATCCAGGATATCTCTACTGTTTATAAGTTAGTCCGTTTCTCTGCACCGGTAAATGTACACATACCCCAGATTAGCAGCGTCCCTTGTAATAACTACCAAATACCAGCACCTGTATTGCTCTTTAAGGCATTTTTCCATTGCAGCCTGTTTTCTTATTTAATAGCTGCCTGCATAGCGGCCTGTATCATCAGCTTGATAAATGCTTAGATCGCGTGCTACGGGAAGGATGAAGAGGACACAAGTGGGGGTAGCATGCAGAGTTAAGCTGCATATAGTATTTGCATTCAAAACCAGATTTAAGATTTATTGGCCCAACATGAAAGTCCTCCCTAAATTATATAAATGAGAAACCACAACAGTCTTTCCCTGCTTACTCTTAAAAAACATGTTTTACCAAGAAAGTTACACAGTGTTTGTCTGGTTTCCAAATGAGCTCTGTGTTAAATTACCGAGATATTTCCCAGACAAACACTGCAGTAAACAGAATCAACAACTACAACTACAGACACGTCTAATGGAAAGGAGGCTTGAGTTGGATTGATGCGGATCTCCAAATTGATACATAAAGAAATGCTTTAGAAGGAATAAAAAATACAGGAAGACACAGAACCGAAAACATGACATCCAAGTCAGAGTGAGAACTTTAAAATATTTTTATACATAGTATTCTATTGTTCACTCACATGTTAGAGAGCCCGAATCTCAAGCCCTGCCAGGGCCAGATTAAGAGCCCATTGGGCCTGGTGCTGACAGTAATGATGGGCCTAATTACAGAATCTTATCGACCAAAAACACTAAAACAGTCATACCTCCCAAGCGTCATGTATCTGATGGAGATGGTGCTATAAGAAAACACATACTCTATGCTAATTTCTCTCTAATTTATGTTTTCATCTTTCAAGTAAATCCATAGCCCCAAACAGCAATGTCCAGTGAAGCAGGAAGTCAATGGGCACGGTAAAAGGGTGCGAATCACGTGACCAGACCTGCCAAAAGGGGTGAACATGCCCAAAAGGGGGCATGTTTGTCCAAAGAATTGGAAGGCCAGCCTGGCATGAATGCATGTCGGGCTGCCTGCCAATCCTGCAGGCTGTCCAACTAAGGGCATACTATGCAGGCAACACCCTGAGCTTGACATAAATGCATCAAATGATGCACATATACCAAGCTTTCTAAGGACTATTCACTAGCACTGGCTGGTCCACTTGTCTCCTTACCTTCTTACTAGCAGGCAGAAGTTCCTGGTATATAGTCTGGGACAGAGAAAAAGTGGTTGTAGTGAATGTAGAAGAAAGGGGACATGCCACAGTGTTAGTGTTAGAGAGACCAAAGTCTGCATTACCTAAACTAATTGTATTGTCAGCCAGTCCACGCAAGTTTTGTTCCCATACATCCCTCTTAAGCTTCCAAACTTAAAGGGACAATATAGTCACCTGAACAACTACAGCTTATTGTATTTGTTCTGGTAAGTAGAATCATTCCCTTCAGGCTTTTTGCAGTAAACACAGTTTTCAGAGAAAATACTTCCGCCGGCTAGATGGCTGCTAGAGGTGCTTCTTGGGGCAGTACTGCCTAGTGTGCAGCACTGCCATTCAGTGTCTCCACCCTCTGCATGCAGACACTGAACTTTCCTCATAGAGATGCATTGATTCAATTTATCTTTATGAGGAGATGCCGATTGGCCAGGGCTATGATTGACTTGTGCTGGCTCTGCCCCTAATCTGCCTATTTGACAGTCTCAGCCAATCCTATGGGGAAGTACTGTAATTTGCTCAGACCACTACTTCTGATGATGTCAGCAGACAGAGTCAGTTCAGAGGCAGAGCCAGCAGCTGCAGACTTGAATACAAGTAAGATTTTACTATATTTAGGGAGGCAAGAGGAGGCCAGGAAGGCTAGATGGTGGTTTTAACATAATAGGGTCAGAAATACGTGATTGTGTTCCTGACCCTATAGTGTTCCTTTAAGCCAGAGTATGTGAAGAGTAGTTAGGGTTGAACCTTTCTTAAAAAAACAAAAATACCAGCCTTCAATAATTTGCATAATTAATTATGTATGTGTGACATCACACAATGTAAATCACAAGGAGTGACAAAAGAGATAATTCTGTAAAACTACTCACAGTTTGATTCTGCTGTGTAGATGGATTGTTCCCAGTGTCTCCCTGTCTCCCAGTGTCTCAGTCTTGCAAGTCACCCAGTGTCTCAGTGTCCCTATGTATCACAGTGTCAGTGTCCCCATATCGCCCAGTCTCTTTGTCCCCATGTCTCAGTGTGTCCCCATGTCACTAGGATACTAGGGGACACAGTGAGACATGGGGACACAGAGTCCTGGGACACTGAGACACTTGGGGACACTGGGAGACATGGGGGAACTTGTGGATATAGACATGTTGACACTGGGAGACATGGAGACACTGGGAGAAATGGTCACATTTGGGGACACTGGGAGAAATGGGGACACTG